CAAGCCCATTTGCGGGCACTCCCAACCTCTCGTTGGGAAACGAAGGAAAGCCTGCTACCGAGGACAGACAGAGCGGGCCCAAGGGCGACAGGCCTCCTCGCCAGCAGGGCTGCGGCGTCGGCAGTGACCTTGGCGTGGGCGGCCAGGGCCCCGCACTCACCTCGACCGCAGAGGACGCCCCAATCTCCCAGTCACAAACGCCATCGCAAGTCCGGGCCGCGCAGGAGCAGCGGCTCGGGGGCGGGGCCTGAGCTTAGGGGTGGGATCGAGTCCGGTGTGAGTAGGGTCAGGACGAGAGCCATGGTGTGGGTGTGGAGACGGGCGGGGCTTGAGATTGACAGAGGCGGGGATTGGGGCTCAGTGGGCGGGGCCGGGATGCGAGTCCTAGGTGGGCGGAGCCAGAGGCAGGGCTGAGCTTGGTGTGGGAGGGGCCAAAGTGAGGGCGGGGGGGCGGGGCTGGGACTGGGAGTGGGCGTGTCGGGCCGCGGGTACCCAAAGTAGGCGGGAATCGTAGCGAGGCCGACCACTGCGCGGCAGAGCTGCTGGGGTACCGGGAAGCCCTTGTCCCGGGGCTGGGCGGAACCCAGGCTGGGAGCTCTGGTGGCGGTTTTTCGTCCTGCGGCGCACCGCGGTGCCCAGCGGTGGAGGAGAGCCGAGATGTTGGAGGAAACACCCCACTGTTTGGAAGTGCGGCTGCCCCGCGCGGTCTGGCGGAGCGGGGAGGGAGCGTTTCACCCTGTAGTATAGCAGCGAGCTAAGGATCAAGACCCGAGCTCGAGAAGCTCGAGGCGGGGGCGCGTGGTTAACAATGATCTCAGACCGGAGGGATGCCTGAGGATCCGGAACAGCCTTGATTGTGTGTGTGCCTGTCCACCGGGCTGCCCTTAAACTTTGCTCCACAGTTCCACTTCCAGCTTTTTGGTGATTAATTGGTGATAAATCTCACGGACTTTCTAACCCAGGCTGGCTTCGAACTGCGATCATCAGATATCAGACTCCCGAGTAGCTAGGATTACAGGCTTGTGCCACTAGGGCCCAGCTTTCTCTGGAATGTTTCCATTCAACATGTTAATGTCACTAACCATCTATGGGTAGTTTTGAGTCTCACTGAATCATTTAAAAAGTATGGGCCTTGAGCTGGGCGCCAGTGGCTCACACCTGTAATCCTAGCTACTCAGAAGGCTGAAATCTGAGGATCATGGTTTGAAGCCAGCCGGTGTAGGAAGTCCAAGAGACTCTTATCTCCAGTTAACGACAAAAAGCTGGAAGTGGAGTTGTGGTTCAAGCGGTAAAGTGCTAGCTTTTAGCAAAAAGCTCAGGGACAGTGCTCAAGTCTGGAGTTCAAACCTCATTAACAGCATATATAATATATATATATATATTATATATATATATCTTCTTTGGAGAAATACTGAGAAGGGGGGGTGTGGATCACTACTACAAGGTAGGTGTGGGGAAGCATGACTGTAATCCAAGCACCGGGGAAGCTTTAGGAGGAGGGTTATAAAATTCCAGGCCAGCCGTACAGTGAGACTTGCAAACAGCAAGTCTCTTTAAACTTTGTGCTTAATGTTCAGTTTCCTTTGCCTTCTGAACAAGTTCAATTTTCTTATTCTGGCAAATAAGAACCCCCAAATTTGGCCCTTGCCTGCCTGCTCAGTCTGTTACATTGTGCTTGAAACTTCTATTTCAGATGAGCTTGAGGACCCGCCTTCTGTGAGTGTTCCTGGGTTTTCTCAGTCCAAACACTAGGCTATTCAGGAAGCCTTGACCTACCCGTTGGGTCCATTTGGTCCTCCTGAGATGGACCTTGTCTCCCCGGCTTGTCTTTCTCCTATCTGTATGTCACTATACTAGCTTGTGATGAACAATTCATCACACAGCTCACAAAGGGCACACTCTGGGAAAGGCTACACGCTTTAACTCCATTTCTTGCATCTTGATACACAACACTTTGTAGATGTTTATTGAATATTAGATGAACTGTTGAAAGTTCTCTCTAGCCTATGTGTTTCTTCATGTAATGCAGGTATAGATCAATTGCCACCTTTTTATTAAGTTGTCAGCAGATGTTAACATGAGTGTTCGGGTGCTTGGAAGTATTTCTTTTTCTGTGAGAGGTAGCTAGAGGAAAAGGGATTTGACTTTTTATCAGGTTCCTGTGTTGAAGCATACTAGGAAAACTGGTACTAATGAAACTATGAGGATACTTCTTTCTAGACAGTTCAGGGGGAAGTGGATCTGTTATAGCTTCTTTTCTTAGTAAAGATTATTAGTTTATCTTCTTTCTATGTTCTGCATTATAATTATGTCTGGATTTTTTTGTAGGGGGAGTTTAACTGAGCTGGAGCTCTACCATTTGAGCCACGCCTCCAGCCTGGCTTTTTACTTGCTGGTTATCTTGGAGAAAATATCTAAAAAACCTTTCTGCTATACCTGGCCTCAAACCTTGATTGTCCAGATCTGTCTCCTGACTAGCTAGCATGAGCCCAGTCCCTGGCTCTCTGCTTTAGTTTGATGACAAACAGATAATTTAAACCAGCGCTTGTGTAATAGAGCCATTACTTACGTCATCCTTTCCTACTTTTTCAAATCTATGTCCTCATTATACAACTCAGGCTGGCCTTAAACTCCACCTGCCTTAGCTTCCCAAGGGCTAGGATTATAAGGGTGTGCTACCATACCTGGCTTTTCCCTAATCTTTTAATGACCCAACACTTCACTATAGTATTTTACATTCTAAAGGAAACCCTCAGTAATGACTCTCTGTCCTCAGAATGAATTGACTTGCCCAAAAGCAATGTAATCTTTCTGGAAAGAAAATACAGATCTGCCAGGAAACTGAAGTGCAGAATATTTTGGTAAGGAAGGAGAGATGACTGATCCCATCTGGTTGTGGAAGCAAGATCATGCCCTGCCGACACTTTTATTTGTGTTTGTTTCATTAACTTGGTTTTCTTTCAACTGCTTTTATAGCAAAGAAATGTCCCTCATGTATCTCCCTCCCAGGATTGGAACAGGTAAATATCACCATGTAAGACGTAACTGTCTTCTTTTTCCCCAAGAGGTGTTTTTTGTTCTTGTTTACATCAAAGTTTAACCTACTATCTGTTCAACTCCAACAGAACGGAATGGAAATGGCTATAATAAAGTTGGCCCAGGAGAGCTACAAAGAGAATAATAAAACAATACATCATGCATAATATTGCATTGGATATAACAGTACAATATTGACTGAATTAATTCAAGAGCTGAGGAAGATATTGGAGAAGGGCACCTATTGTTGATGGAAATAAGTGACATCAGGTTGATTAAGCTCAGGTGATCTGCCCTTTTCCCTTTTTTTTTTTTTTTGCCCGGTGTGGGGCCTGAACTCTGGGCCTGGGCACTGTCCCTCAGCTCTTCAGCTCAAGGCTAACACCCTACCACCTGAGCCACAACACCACTTCCAGCTTTTTCGGCTTATGTGGTGATGAGGAATCGAACCTAGGGCATGTGTGCAAGGCAAGCACTCTACCACTGAACCAACTTCCCAGCCCCCTTCTCCCTTCTATGCTAGACAGAGAAAATTTTAAATTCCATCTACACGTCACCTACTCAAGTCTTTAAAATCATTAAGACTTGGTAATTCCTCTTTATTTACAAATTCAGTATTTGTAGATTTTATTTTCTTTTGGTCATGGGGCTTGAACTCTGGGCCTGGCGCTGTCCCTCAGCTCTTCAGCTCAAGGCTAGCACTTTACCACTTGAGCCACAGATCCACTTCCACAAATTCAGTATTTGTAAATTTACCTAATGCCTAAAATTCATCTGCAAAGCTCGTCAGCCCTCTTAAGTTTCTCAAGACTATTCACAGAGTGCAGGAATAGTTGACTGACCAGAAGTTCATGTTCACAGCTAGATATAAGCAAGCAAGATGACATTCTGTATTGTTTCCACTGACGTAATGCAAACAAAGGTCCTTGTGGTCCTTTGTAGGTGCCATGTTTTAAGTTCTGAAGCTTAAACTCAGTGCTTTGTGCCCTCACTTAGCTTTTTGCTCATCTCATGTTCTACCCATTGAGCCTCACCCCTATTTCTGGATTTTTTTAATGGTTAATTTTAAATAAGAGTATCTGAGAGTTGTCTGCCATGAGCTAGCTGCTGGTGGTTCACGTCTGTAACCTTAGCTACTCAGGAAGCTGAGATATGAGAGTCACAATTCAAAACCAGCCTGAGTAGATAAATCCAAGAGACTTTCATCCCCAGTTAACCAGCAAAAACCTGGAAGTGAAGGTGTGGCTCAAATGGTAGAGTGCCAGCCCTGAGCAAAAAAGCCAAGCAGTGGCACACACACACACACACACACACATTGGCTTTAAAACTGTGATCCTGGGCTGTGAATGTGGCTTAGTGGTAGAGTGCTTGCCTAGCATGCATAAAGCCCTGGGTTCTATTCCTCAGTACCATATAAACAGAAGAAGCTAGAAGTGGTGCTGTGGCTCAAGTTGTAGAGCCCTCGCCTTGAGCGTAAAGAGGCTTAGGGTCAGTGCCCAGGCCCTGAGTTCAAGCTCCAGGACCAGCCCCCCCACTCCCCCCCAAAAAACTCCTGAGTAACTGGGATTGCAGGCATGAGGCACCAGCACCCCGCTTGTTTTTCATCTTTTTGCCAGTGATTTTGCTGTTTAAAATAGACCCCAAAGGTAATGCTACAGCGCTGTGTTGTGTGTTCACACAATCAGAAGGCTATTATGTGCCCTGTGGAGGGATTAAATAAACTTCTTTAATATAAGTTAAATAAAGTTTCTTCAGGCATGAATTATAATCCTGTGAATGAGTTCAATGTTAATGAACCAGCCATATATCTTAAATATGATACCTTTCAACAGAAACATAGGGGCATAAGGTTATGTTTTGATCTGTCGATGAAAATGTAATTAAAGGCTCAATGAAAACGAATCCTGTGTTTTCTCTAGGAACAATGATTCCAAACAATTATCCCTTTTCCCTCAGGTGACTGGTCTAGGGCCTTTCTCAAATATCAAAGTCTGAGGACATTCCAGTTCCTTGAAGAAAATCATATAATATTTACATATAACATGAGTATATCCTTTTGCAGATTTAAAGCCATCCCTAGTTCTCTTGTAATAACCAATACTGTGTATATGCCTATGTGTGCCCGATTGCTTTCTACTTGTATTTGTATTATAAGATGGTCCTTATGGATTCATCTATTTATTCTAGAATTGTCTGAT